AATTTTAAAAAAAAAGTTTGGAAAATGTTATTTGCACTCTATTCTTTTGTTATTTGCACTATTATTATTTATTTTATCATATAATCTAATAAATGATAATTATATGATTTTTATAACAATAATGAAAGTGTGATTAACCAAAAAAAAAAAGGGAATGCAAATAACATTTCTTAAAAGTTTTCCTATAATTCCTAGTATGGTGCTCGCTTGGACCCATTATTGGGCCAAAACATGGGGTTCAAAAACACGCACCAGGCTGGAGCCATGCATAATATTACGGGCTCATCAGTGAGACCTTGAATCTGAAGCCTCCACTTTTGGGCCTTCTTTTAGTTGAGTATTTCCTTCCCTACTTTTGTCTTTATTCTTTCATTAACCTAATGTCTGCAAACTTCAAATTCAATTTTTTTTTCTGCTACTATAACTTTTGTATAATCTAATCTATTTTATTGTACATGAAAAGAGAGGCTAAAGAGCCTATATAATGGACTAGCAGGTTCGAGAATCCGACTAGACAAAAGAGGTTCAAACCCCCGAGTCCCCGGCCTACAGGTCAAAAAGAGACTTAATCCCTTTTTGGTGGCCACTAAACCAAAGTTCGATGGTTCATAATTCAAATTATCGATAACTTACATTTTAATGATGTGCTAATCACACACACACACATAATAAAATGATGTTCAGTTCTGGTTTTGATAGATTGTTGAGTTAGTTACTCTAATTTTCTGTCAAGTGGACTATTTATCTTTTCGCCACATCAATGTCTTTAATGTTTTTTATTCTTTTTTCTATTTTTTGTAACAATTAAGTCCCTTCCTTTTTTTACTTCTTTATTTATAGCATGGTATCTTTCTTGATTTTTTTTCTTAATTTTCTTCAAGTCAGTTTACTCTATCCCTATTATTATACCTGATTATTTATTTGTTTTCTAAATTTTTTTTTCCATGATTCGATTCTCTAACCCTTCCCCCGGGTGATCCCTCCGCCATGATTTGGAATGTCCACTTGGTCCCAAAAAAACCAAAAAAAAAAAAGGAGCAAAAGAGGGTTCACCTAATATATTCTTCTGCCAAGGTCCGAAAGTTGCCTCCATGTTCAACACGCAACACACGCATGGAGAATCTTGAGAGTGGGACATGGGAAGAAGGATCTATATGTATCCTTCGGAGATAAGGTTGATTATCTGATGCGTGATACAGAGAAGTGGAAGCGTTGGTATTAGGCATATCTCCCAATAATTAATGAAATTGGTTTTGTTTAAGGTGCATTCTTGCTTGTTTAACACTTCCATTAACCGTTCCTCACCTTAACACAGCCTCACATATCCATTGATGGGCTCAAGGCAACCTTTTTGGTCTGCCCACAAATCAATCTTCCAAAACTGATTAAGAGAATTACACATGGAAAGCCCTTCAATTAATTCGTAATTACAAGAGTAACCTTGTTGATTAATAATGACATGACTGCATGCCATATTAACTTGTCCACTGCAGCCCAGCTCTTTTAGTTGCTGCGGCTTAATTTGTATGGCCTTGGTTTCCTTTTGTTCCTAAAAAAAAAATAGATTAATCTAATTTATACAGACAATGTATACATTGTGCTAGATTTTAAATTTAAATACAAATTGAAGTTAATTATTCTATATCTAAGCCATCTAGTGTATATTGGGCCTGGGTTTTATCCCAATAAATGACTGGTGGGATAAAATCCAAGCCCAACAGTATATAATTGTCATTGTAAGAAAAATTTATCCATAACGAATTGTATCAGTTAGTTCCGTTTAAGCTGCGTAAATTCAAGTTAGTCCATAATTCGGGCCATCATGCAGCAACCTAGGGAGATGTTCTGTGTGTTACGAATAGGGGTACAAACAAGTCGAGTCGAATCAAATTTCAATCTAATCGAGTCGAGACTCAACATAATTTTATTTTTAAAAAAGAAATAAAATAATAATTTTTCTTAACGAATAATAAAATATTAGAGATACATATGTGATTTTACTATCAAAATAAAAAAATATATATAATTGAGTTCGAGCTAACTCACGAGTTAACGAATTTAGTATTTTTGAGTTCGAATTCGACTTAGTCAGCTTGAGTTCACCTCGAGTTCGATGTTGACTGAACTCAAATTGAACTTGGACTCGAGCCGCTCGATTCATTTGCAGTCCTAGTTGCAAACAAGAAAACCAGCTTGCAAACGAGAAAACCAGCTAATTATGTTTGCATATAAAACCTTGCTATGGTACTCCTTCGTTTGTTCTCAAGATCATCCCAAAGATAAATAGCAAAAAATAGGTTTGTCCATAACTTAGTTACATGAGAAAGTGAGATTCTGGATATCTTAAACATGCAAACATTGACAGTCAAGTTCTCAGAAATTTATGATTCAAGATTGGGACCAGCAAGGACGTTGGAGGGTCCAAATTAGTCACAACTTCTTTGATAAAATGGATTGCATACTTGTTGTTTGCTTAAGTTAACAGGGCAAACAGGGTATAGGAATAAAAATAGGTTGAATGTAAAATTGTATTGGAGGGTGTTAAGACATTATCAAAAGGTTAAACACTATTAATCAAAGATGGGGCCTAAGCTATAATTGGTGCAGCTTTCTTTGTCTCTAATCATGTTTCAGTTGGGACTTAAACGTCATTTTGCTGTAATTGCAGAACATTAAAGTAATCTGCTTCTACTCCTACCATATATTACATGCAAAAATAAGGAAACAAAAAAGATTATACACGTTCTCTTTTTATGTTTCCATCAAATATTTTGAACCCAAGAAAAATCTCCGTAGACCTAAAGATCCTGTGTTAGGTTGAGATGCAAGTACCAGACTGATTGCATACCACATCCATTACTTGTGCTCTAATATTTGGTGCAATAATTGTTTGAATTTGCTCATCGAAAGATGCATATTTTAGAGAAGACTTGGGATATCGATCCATAAATGAGTGATAGTTCTTCCTAACCTAAAGGCTCTCCAATTAGAGAGGGTAATCATATATCAAGTTTTTTTTTTTTTTTTTTAACTTTTTTAAGGGAGACTCCAAGTCTTACAAATGCAATGGAGAGGGCTTGTAAGAGTCGAATTAGGGAAAGACAAAACTATTTTCATTTTTAAGCTTGTTTGGTAAAAAGACTCTTTCATTTTTAGAAAAGAAAAAAAAAAGTATTTATTGGAAGCTATTAGCACTAGCCATGAGAATAAACAGTTGATCAACCGACCGGCAAGAAAACATAGGAGTTCTTTCTTCGAAAGAATAAAAATTGCATGTTGGAAACTTAAAGACCTGTGTTATACATCTAAACTACTCAGCACTCACAGAGAAACAAAGAAAAAAAAAAAAGATAAAGTTCTCCTAACCATCATTCAAGAAAATAAGAAAATAAGTTTACAGCTAAAATTTTATACATGAAAGGTTTGATTATATGTTGTAGTAGTTAGTAGTTAGTATCACCATAGCAATCATGTTGCCATTGCTGTTAAATACCTTCGGTGATATATTTACAAGTAAATATGTTGAATGATCTTCTCCACCGACCATTACTCTATGACCATTTTCCTCATCTTCCATTGCCTATCATCCTATGCACTTCCATTGTGAAAAACCATGATTAACATTTGGTGCATTAACAACCCTTCTTAACTCTTGATTTGTTTACATAATAAATTTCATACCTAACTAAAAATCCCAGAACGACTTCAAATCTGCAAATTAAGGGTTTGTTTGGATTGTATTTTTTTAGACTTTTTGTAAAAAAATTATTACAGCGATTTGATATATGTAAGGTAAAAAGATGATTGAAAAATGTATCCATGAAAAACGTAACAATTTTTATTTAAAAAATTCCCGTTTGGATTGCATTTTCCGTCATTTTTCATGGAAAAATTACTATAGCGATTTGATGTATGTGAGGGAAAAAGATAATAGGAAAATGTGATCATGAAAAATGACGCAATTTTCTAACAGAAAATGGCAATCCAAACAGAGCTATTACAGTACAATAAAGTCTTGACATGCATTTAACTCAATTGGAATTAAATGCATGGCATTCAAATTTTCATGACTTCTTCACTATTTGCCTAGAAAAGGAATCATGTCTACCAAACAAGGTAAAGATTGCTTTGGATCACAATAATATCCTATTGAGTTGAGTGGATAAGTAAAGGTCCTCCATTTCGTGGCCATATGTATATTTCCATTTTGCCCTTTGCATCTCAGGATAGAAAAAAATTATTATTTTTTATCATATTTTTCATTTCAAGAAGTTTGTGGTGGTTTAGTTTAAGGCCCTAAAACTAAAACCCACCATAGATGAGGCACCATATCAAGCAGTTTTATAAAAAAAATTGCTGACTTCTACTTTGTCTTGGTATTAAGTCAATTAAAACCTTAAATTCATTCTTATACTGGTTGGTGTGGTTTAGAATTTCAAGAACCCAACCACAACCTTTTGCCTCTTGTTAAATTATCACAGCCAAGCTTTAATCATTGGAACAATTAGGACTTCAGCAGATAGATAGAAACAAGTGTGCTTTCTACATATTCTCAAATCCACTAACTTACCTAAACTAGGAAAGATCATCCTCCTTTCATGGGATCAATTAAAATATCCTTAAAAGTGCATGTAGCATAATACATCAATTTCATCTCATTCCTATGTACAAAAAAAGTGTAGACAAATCATGAATCAATAGACAATTATGGGACAGGAAACAGAAACAAAAAGATTGAGGTCCACTCAACCACCAATGCAAGGATTATATATGGTACTTGCATTCAATTTCTTATGATGCAGCAATTTTAAAATCTTCAACCTAATGAGGGCATTTAAGTCATTTAACCTCCTTTACACTCAAAGTCCATACTGCCCTCCAACTTATGCCTCCCTTGTCATTTCAAATTACTGATCAGCCGTCAACTAGCGCCGTTAACTCACGCTCTGTACAGTTACCAGTATAAATTCCAGAAAACAGAGACAAAGTACAAAAACACACACACTCATCACACAGAAAAACACACAGACAGAGGAAGCCATTTTAGACAGAGTTTCTTCTCCCAGGTCAGAATGCAACCTTAGTGTCGTCTTTGTTTATGAATATATCTACATTGAAGTTTGATGTACCTTGATCTTTTTAAGAAAATCTTGAAATGGGATCGGTGTATTTTGTCTGTTTAGTCCAGTCCAGGTTTACTTTCTTTTAATTTCAAGATTTAAGTCAAAATTTGCTTGAAAGACATGTTCTTGACCTTAACCTTTGACGGGTATCTTTTTTTTTGTGATAAAATTTTGTGGGTTTGATTTTTAAATTTTACAGGTGTCATCTTTTTTTATCTGAATATGTATGGGAAAAAAAAGAAGAAAAAGATGCAGCTTGTAATTTTCAGAAGATAATGCAGGAAGAATTAGCATTTTAGTAGGTACTTTGATTGAGAATTTCAGTTAAGTTGACGGATTTAGTAGTAATTGTTTATGAATCTGTGTTATTGCACTGGATTTTGATTTTTCTTTTCTTTTTTCTGATAGTCTCTTGGCATTGGAGCAAAAACTTTAAATTTTTACTAATGTAAATACTTTGATGTTTGATTTCTACCGTCCAATGTAGTCCTTGGTGCCAGCAATAGTTGGTATAGTATAAGCTCAATTTTCAGCCCTCATTATGCATCTTGAGTCCATTTTCTTTTGTTTTAAGTCACTTATCCTAATTCTGAGTACGCATTAGTTTGAGTACATTGGTAGATGGTGAGAATGGCCATAAACATAAAGGTTAATTGAGCTTTGCAACTATCAAAAACATGAAGTCTGAGTACGTATGTATCTCTTTTGTTGTGGATCCTTGTGTAATTATGTTCCACTAGAGTAATCTGGTTAATTAGTTTGCCTCCGTTTATTTAAGATTTTTCTCATGTACTTAAAATGTCGTAAAAATTTCAATTTTCTTGTCTTACTCTTATTTAAACTGATCTTGGAATTCAAATTATGGTGTTTGCATTATAAAAAACTATAAAATTGTTCAGAAAGCTTTTGTGCTTTTTCTTGGGGCTCACCTGTAATATAATGGGTAATCTCCACATGAGTTGAATCTGGTATTTTTTTACTTTCTTAATCTTATAAGTGAAGGGTAGATTAGAATCATTTAAAAAAATAAAAATCCAATTGACAACTTCAAGTTTGATGTTATACCTGCATTAGCTCCTTAAAATAATGGTACACACATCTAATAGGTTCGCCAGTCAACAACTTGTTTGTCTTAGTCTTATAAATAGCATTTGACGAAGCATTTGATTAATCTTCCAATGGAAGTGGTCTGTTTTAGCAGTCCAATGGGCATGGAAGTTACTGAGATCTGTATGGACAAAGAACCCAATTCTGTGGTGACATACTCAAGTGGTACTCCCACCGAGGAAAATGATGTGACCACCAACCCTCATCATGTTATGGAGACATGTGGACTTGTCAATGGGGATGTTCAGTCCAATGTTATAGAAGAGAAAGCTGAAGTGAATGAGTATGACGTGAAGGAATGCACCAGTGAAAAGTCAGTTGTATCTACAGTCTGTCACATTAAGAATGTTGAGCAAGCTGTACTAGTCCCAAAATGTGAGACTGGGGCACCTGAGGAGCTGAAATCCGAAAGCCCTGAAGTAAAAGATGATAGTAGGAAGACAAAAGTTCCAGCGAAATCTAAGACAAAGTCTCCTTCTGGAAACTGTAAAACCAAATGCACTATTCCACAGCCATTTGCATTGGCGACTGCAAAGCGTGCTTCATTTGGAGCTCGTCCGGTTGGAACTGAAACTGACAATGGTGTTGCTACTAAAACATCAAAGATTAGCGCTGCCGTGCATAAAAGTGGTACAAGGCTGATTCAGGTATCTGCTATGCACCGAAGCTCATAGTTTACACTTTTTTTTCCTCCTTTTTTTTTTCTATGAATTCTTGTGGTAGCACTCAGTCTTCTTCAAGTCATACTTTTATCTCTTGGGTGGCTTTTCTCAAAGGGAAAGAATCCTTTCTAGCATCTTTTTTGTGTCTTAATTATATTTCGATCTAAGGGTTGTACACTTTGTCTCATGCAGTACTTCCTATTCATAATACCAATCATAGAATATCATCAGCTATAGGTTGTGCACACAACAGGTTACTATAAGTAAGAGCCAGCTCCTCTATGTTCCAGAAAGTTCCAGCTACATAGTATGAAATTATGAAATGGCAAAACCCCTATCAGTTCCTTCATTTTTTAAATCTTCTCTTATCTCTTTGCTCATTGGAAAAACTAGTTACTTGTGGATGCTGAACTATCTAGAATATGATTATAAGCTAAGCTGATTCTACCCAAAAATCATTGGTGCATGATAGAGTTACACAAGATGTGGTTTCGTTGATGGGTAGTTCTTTTGTATACATGTTTTTACAACTTAAAGTTTAATAGTTCACTTTTAAAACATATACATTTATGAACAGGAGTTAGAAGAAGACATTAATGTAGTATAAGCAAGGGTGCTCTTTTTTTCACAGGGAAAGCCAACAAGCTGAATTGAGATGTGATAATAGGAAAATCTCTAACTTGGTGAAGTTTATAGTCTTTTTTGCTACTGGTTGTGGAATTACATTATGCTGATGATTGACTATGTACCTTTCTGTTGCTGCAGCCAGTCTCACCTGCAGCTCAAAGAAAGCCATTGCAGCCCAATAATAAGAAGCACCCTGGTGAAGAAGACTCATTTTCTGTTGCTTCTTCGTATCCTTCTCCCTGGAGGACTTTCTTACTCAATAAGCACTCTTTCTCTCTAGTTAGTTATATTCCTTCTGGACTTTTGCACTGTGGTTAGATTAGTTCCTTAACTATGTCTAGCGTTTTGGCATCAACAAGAAAGTCCAGGACTACTAATGCATCAGCCCCTGTGTTCAGATGTACTGAACGGGCAGAGAGGAGGAAGGAAGTAATGCTTCTTAAACTCTCAGCATATGACGTTCTTCTAAGCCTCATTTTCGTGAGCAATATATCTAAAACCCAATGGGACTAAACTATCCCCATTCTTCTTTTCTTTTGATTGTTTATGATAGTTTTACACAAAATTAGAAGAGAAACATCAAGCACTTGAAGCTAAGAAGATTCAGTGGGAGGAGAGGACAAAGGTATAACTTTTACTATGTCCAGACAACTTCAGATCCCCTTTCCTTATCTTATCTAGCAACCAAATATAGAAATACTTCATATCACATTTTAGTTGTCTTGATCTTGATCCTTTACGTCTTAAGCACATGGAGACTGATATATATGTCGTCTTTTGTTTCCTCCAATTCTGGAACATTTTTAGGAAGAGAAAGAAGCAGCTATCAAACAATTCAGAAAAAGTTTGTTATTTAAGGCAAGCCCAATGCCAAGTTTCTACCATGAGGGTCCACCTCCCAAGGCTGAACTGAAAAAGGTATGAGACGGGTTATTTGCTTTATAAGCTTGGAGATATTACAATGTGTTTTTTATGCACTATTGAAGCATTAAAAGTTTTCATTTATTAGCGTTATAATTTCTTGATGAGGCTCATCAACCCAAAACAAATTACTGCTGAATAGTACTAAACTCTGTTTTATGGCATAGCAACCTCCAACTCGTGCAAAATCACCAAAGTTGGGTAGAAGAAAGAGCTGCAGTGAAGCAGTTGCTCTTGAAAAGAGGATAGCTAGCCTCAATATTTACAGAGATGATGCCACCATTTCTTCCATAAGAAGGAAAGATCGTGTCAATATCCAGATTCCTATCACCACTCAGATATCCAATGATGAGCATGAACCAGGACAAGTTGATGAACCATTTGCATCTAAATTTATTGGCAGGATGAATATGGGCATCTGTTTTCCATCCTAGTCTTTGGTCAGTCTTCTAATTTATTGAAGAAAGAGCTTTTCTTTTGTCTTGTCACCATTCTGATGACGTGCATTTGGTTTCTATTAACTGCAAGAAATGCTTGCAGAGGGCTGTGTATTTATTTTCTATTTGTGAACTGTAAATTTTGTAAGTTATATGCCCAAGTCCCATGTCTGAAGGACTGTCTTTGTTGTATATGATTTCCTTTCTCTCTGGAATAACTGGATAGCATTTCTTGAATTATGTTTTATGTTTATAAATGCAAGGAATTGCATTCACAAGTAAGGAGTGGCAAGTTCGTGTGCAGCTAATCGAGTGGATATCTGATGCCACTGTTTTTCATGTTTTAATTTAGTCAGAACTGCTGTACAATTTTTGCAACATTGCGTTATGATGTTCTTCCTTTCCCCAACCCAAAATTCCCAAAAGAGTGTAGAAAGAAAGCTAAATAGAATTTGCCGATTCCAAAAAGGAAGGTTGTCCAGTTAGTTACAAGTGTTACACAGCACTTACCGATGGTTGCTTCTCAAGTCTAAATTCAATGATGGATATAAAGTTACAGGCAATGGGGACCCCCATTAAGATGTGCTCTTGTTGTGCTGGAACCTTTGCTTAGTGCAATTGTGGAGAGGCTAATTATATAAAGTTTGCAAACAAAAGAATAGATTCCAACAGAGCTTAAAGTGCCTCAAGTTGAAGTGTTGTAAATATTCAGCAAAAATATGACTTTTTAAGGGGAACATCCTTGATATTCTCCAGTATTCCTGAACATAAAAGGCTACTGTCTTTTGATGATATACCTTGGGTTGTTGAATTTGGTTGCATGTTAATTCTAGTTTAGCTACTTATCCTGGGGATTATGAGTATGACCACGAAGGTTGACCAAGCATTTCACAATCTCTTTAGAAAGCCATTCTTCCTCAAAAAAATTTTCTGCGTTCCGTGTATATATTTTTCAATCATCTTGTATCTTTTTTTTTTTTTTTCAACACAGGAAGTATCCCAGTTTTGTCAGAATAATTTCCTTGCGCCTGTGCACCCCGCCCCCCAAGGATACACAAGCGGTAGAGAGATGATTCGAACACACGATCTCGGGATCTAACTAAACTATCTCGAAATCATCCGAACCAACTCCAAAGGGCTTGGATGTATTTCACATATATCGAATCGTTGTAGTATTTTTTTCTAAAAAACTCCAAGAAACAGCAATTCAAACGGGTTCCAAGTTGTTTTGCTTGGTGCGAATTATTTGCTCACAAGTCGTCTTGGGAGACTTTATAATTGAGTTTGATGGTGTGATCCAGTCATAAGACATGCTGGCATCGAGAGTAATGCAAATTCCAGAAATTCTGTTGGATGGTTCCACATGTAAGCCCTTGTACCTTACAATAATGTCAAACCCTTACGGTAAAAGTACATGTATTATTAGTCTGCAAGTCCAAACTCCAAAGTCAGATGTTTGTCCTCCTATCTACAAAGCAAAAGCATATTAAGTCTCCAAACAATATTGTTGAAAATTACTATAAAGTTATTTATGGATTGACTTTTGTCATAATCAATTAGGTTTATTGGATAATGCACAAATGCTCGAGTCAATGTCACATGAATTGCAGTACCATGGAAAAAAGTCCAAACCCAACTCTTGGTTTTTCTAGCAGGGTATAGATTCAGTACAATTATGCTTTTATGTGATTCCATCGAGTCGTTGTACATATTTAAATTTTTGATATACAAATACGTCATAATGTTATATTAAATCAATGTCAAATATTTTATTTATGTATATCACTTTTACGATAATCGAATCGAACTATACCAAACCCCAACCGCACTGGCCCCTCTCACGTTCCGGACGGTGGCTTGTTGGTAAGGAGGGGTGAAGATGAGCTGGGATGAGGAATGGAATTAGCTTTTCCTTCATGGGGAATTTGGACTGAAAACAGCAGTCTTGAAACTATTTTTTTTTCTCCGCTAGGTATTCTTGGTTTGCCCCATGATAATAGGCCTTTTCCTTGTCTACTCATAGCCTTACTAAAGTATTTCATTGGCATTGTTAAAAATATCTGAAACCAGAAGTCAACATTTTTTTTTCTGTACAAGGCTCTAATAGTCTATTTGTTCAATATTTCAACATGGGCATTGGTGACTTTCCTCAGCTTCACTATATTTTCTGTACATATTTCTTTGATTTAAACGTGTTGTAAATTATTGATCACATAATTCTAATAGCAACAAAAAAGCGTCGGCAGTATAATAATGATCAATTTTAGCTGGCATTTCTGTGCAGTCTGATTTGTGATGGCTAAATTTGATTATGGCCCTATACGACAAAAGTGTATATGACTTCTTTCACAGAAATGCCTTTTTTTAAAAAAAAAATAATAGTGTGCCCACTTATTTTCAATCATTTTTTCTGGTCTGTCAAAGTTAATTGAGCACAGTGAAAAATAATCTAATACAGTTAATAATGTCACTTAGGAACACTTTTTTCTTCTCTCTCAACTTTTGTGTCTCACTCCCATTTCCCAAATCTTTTTTTAACTTTATTGGTCCTGCTCAGCCAAGCTTTAATTAGCCAAACTTTTGTATTCTTTCAATTGAAGCTTGGAATCACATAATTTGCACAAAACCTTTATTGATAAAGATCCACTTCTCCTTTCCTCCTTTTCCTCAAATAGAAAACAACAGCCACATCATTTTATAAATTGACTCCCAATTTCTACTCCAAAAAAGTACTCATAATTTATTAATGCCTTATAGTGGTAGAATCCATAGGAACTATAGCAAGAATTGATGCATTCTTTTCTTTTTTTTTTTTAACCAACACCAATTGAAGTTGTTAGGAAATTAAACATATGCCTCAACGCTATAGGATAGAGAAAGTAGAGTAAAGAATTCGCTAGTCCCGGCTTTGATGCCACATTTGCTTGTAAAAAGGTCTTCTAACTTGGTCTGGCCTCCCTTCATTGACAGCCAAAAATTGTCTTGACTTGCTGCCACCCCTTAACTTGAAAATGATACTAAAAAGTGCCCAATTTGTTTGTCTTCATTCCTCCACACCAAGTCCAACAATGTAATTACTGACTTTTATTGAATCATAGGTTGCTCAATATCAACACACACCACCTTATAATATACTGTGTGTGAAGCATGGGTTGGAAGGTGTAGAAAGTGAAAAAGAAAAGAGAAAAACTGCGTCTGTCTGACTTCCAAACACAACCCTCCTAAATCCTACGTATATAAGTAGTAGTACCCCGTGAATATGGAACCAAATGCATGGCCCTTTCAAAATCAAACATCTTCTTCCTTTCTGATCTCTCTCTCTCTCCTTCTCTCTCTCTCTTGAAATGTTGAGGGGAATGCTGTCTGGTTCGAGACCATTCATTGAAGCCAAGAAATTGAGACAGACATCATCTGATGAATGATCTCGGACCAGGCTTCATTCCCCCCAACCCAAAGCTTCTTGTTCTTGTTATAATCAAGTCAACTGAATAGCAGGCTCCTCCATGCTCTCATCTTACATATTACCTAAGTACTATCATTGTCATCTGCGGATGTCTGCTTTGATGCAACCTCCAGCCATGTCTGCAGGTAGGCTTTGAATTTGAATCAAGCAAAAGACAATTACACACACACACACACAGATGCATACTGCATAGCTAGGGATACTAAGTTTATTAAATTCAAAGAAACGGCATCTGTTGATTGATCAGTTCTAATAATTAGAATGGCACTTTCTTGTTTAAAAATTCGCTGCAAGCATTTTTAATGCATTTTAGAAGTGATTTGAGAAAACTGTTCAGACACCAACTGTTTCGTCAATTTCTAACCTTGTTTGTCTGCTGTACCCAATTGATCAAGGTAGCTTTGTTGCAAGAGATTTTAAGTGTTGTGGAACAAGACTAGAGTTGTAGTGTGTTCTAGCTCAATCTACAAGTCATGCTTCATTGGTGGCAATTAATCCATTTCTTTCTCTTTTTTTTTCTTCATTGTTCGTAGTCTCTTCTAATGCATTTTAGAAGTGACATTCAAAGGAAATTCAGTTGTTTATCAATCCAAACTTTTCAGGTTTAGAATGCGTGTGGACAATTTATCAAGATAGGGAGATAGATTAGGCGCAAGGAAGTAATGTGGAAAACAGCAGTACTAGTAGTTGGTCAAGCTAAGCTAACTGATGGATGATAGCAATCCCAATCTTTCTTTTTGTTTTTTTGTCTAAATACTACTAATATAGTGCAGTCTTGCTTTCCTTAGGAAAAGAAATGGATCATAAAGAAGTGGATCGAAAATTAGCTGTAAAATGGAGGGTACATTTTCTTCTTTGAAGTGAGCTAGCTTCCACATGCAACCTTTGTCCTCGGTATCCTTTTTACATTTTTCACCTAACTCGTTGAACTCAAGCAATATGGTTCGTGTGAATATATGACTAAAGAGAAAATAAACTAACCAATAATATTGGAAAAGCTAACAAAGTTAGGTTTCATCTTTTCAGGGTTTGAATCTTTATCCATCTGGACTTAGGACTTTGCTTGCAGACGGTAACAAAGAATATGAGTCAAGCAAGATCCCTTTAATTCACTTTATCTTTGCATGAGATTAGAGCAGTGAAAGAAATCCTAACGGATTTCCAATCAATCAAAGGTGTCTTTGAATTTTTACCTTAAGACAGCCATCATAGCAATCCCTCTAGCCTTGTCCCCAATCTAATCCTTTTACTACAACGTGGGACATAAGTACATGAAAATCCTACATTACCATGTGGGTTTGTTCTAGACATTTTTAGCCAATGGCCCCTCCCTTCCTGCTACCGTGTGGTTCAGATTCTAAGCCCTGGGGTCACATCAACTTGTTACATAACATTAATTCTTGCGTGTTTTTCAGTTCTTGACCTGGAACTTGGTAACACCTGGCGTTGCTTCGATGTTGCACGAAGACTGGAATAGATTGCCATGTGAATCTAATCATGATCAAAATATTGATATGTGAAAGATGCCAGATTAATGTTTAATATTTGCTCGAGGCATGTCTTGATTGATACATAGTTGCTGGGGGAAAAAAGAACAAAAAAATAACACTGAAGAAATCTGAATACAAACCTATTAATCCTACCTTCTTGAGTGTTTTTCTTTTTTGTTTTTTCAAGAGGAGACTCGAAGCCTTATAAGTGAGAAAGGGATGAGATTTCATGATCATCTAACTAAGTGGGATAAGTTAGATCACGGAGACGAAATTACAGTAATTTGACCCTGCATAGATAAATTGCATTAGAAAATAATAATGC